GGGTTCACAGTGGCTGTGTGGGAGACACTGAGACCCTGGGGTCAGGGTTCAAGCCCTGGGTCTGGGTGTCTCTCTCTCTCTCAGGGGGTTCACAGTGGCCGTGTGGGAGACACTGAGACCCTGGGGTCAGGGTTCAAGCCCTGGGTCTGGGTGTCTCTCTCTCTCTCAGGGGGTTCACAGTGGCCGTGTGGGAGACACTGACACCCTGGGGTCAGGGTTCAAGCCCTGGGTTTGGGTGTCTCTCTCTCTCTCAGGGGGTTCACGGTAGCTGTGTGGGAGACGCTGAGACCCTGGGGTCAGGGTTCAAGCCCTGGGTCTGGGTCTCTCTCTCACGGGGTTCACGGTGGCCGTGTGGGAGACACTGAGACCCTGGGGTCAGGGTTCAAGCCCTGGGTCTGGGTGTCTCTCTCAGGGGGTTCACAGTGACCGTGTGGGAGACACTGAGACCCTGGGGTCTGGGTTCAAGCCCTGGGTCTGGGTGTCTCTCCCTCAGGGGATTCACAGTGGCCATGTGGGAGACGCTGAGACCCCGGGGTCAGGGTTCAAGCCCTGGGTCTGGGTGTCTCTCTCTCTCTCTCGGGGTTCACAGTGGCCGTGTGGGAGACACTGAGACCCTGGGGTCAGGGTTCAAGCCCTGGGTCTGGGTGTCTCTCTCTCAGGGGGTTCACGGTGGCCGTGTGGGAGACGCTGAGACCCTGGGGTCAGGGTTCAAGCCCTGGGTGTCTTTCCCTCAGGGGATTCACAGTGGCCATGTGGGAGACGCTGTGACCCCGGGGTCAGGGTTCAAGCCCTGGGTCTGGGTGTCTCTCAGGGGGTTCACATTGGCCCTGTGGGAGACACTGAGACCCTGGGTTCAGGGTTCAATCCCTGGGTCTGGGTGTGTCTCTCTCTCTCAGGGGGTTCACAGTGGCCGTGTGTGAGACGCTGAGACCCTGGGGTCAGGGTTCAAGCCCTGGGTCTGGGTGTCTCTCTCTCATGGGGTTCACGGTAGCTGTGTGGGAGACGCTGAGACCCTGGGGTCAGGGTTCAAGCCCTGGGTCTGGGTGTCTCTCTCTCTCTCAGGGGGTTCACGGTGGCCGTGTGGGAGACACTGAGACCCTGGGGTCAGGGTTCAAGCCCTGGGTCTGGGTGTCTCTCTCTCTCAGGGGGTTCACGGTGGCCGTGTGGGGGACACTGAGACCCTGGGATCAGGGTTCAAGCCCTGGGTCTGGGTGTCTCTCTCTCTCTCTCTCAGGGGGTTCACAGTGGCGGTGTGGGAGACACCGAGACTCTGGGGTCAGGGTTCAAGCCCTGGGTGTCTCTCCCTCAGTGGATTCACAGTGGCCATGTGGGAGACGCTGAGACCCCGGGGTCAGGGTTCAAGCCCTGGGTCTGGGTGTCTCTCTCAAGGGGTTCACGGTGGCCATGTGGGAGACACTGAGACCCTGGGGTCAGGGTTCAAGCCTTGGGTCGGGGTGTCTCTCTCTCAGGGGGTTCACAGTGGCTGTGTGAGAGAGAGACCCTGGGATCAGGGTTCAATCCCTGGGTCTGGGTGTCTCTCTCTCAGGGGGTTCACAGTGGCTGTGTGGGAGACACTGAGACCCTGGGGTCAGGGTTCAAGCCCTGGGTCTGGGTGTCTCTCTCTCTCTCAGGGGGTTCACGGTGGCCGTGTGGGAGATGCTGAGACCCTGGGGTCAGGGTTCAAGCCCTGGGTCTGGGTGTCTCTCTCTCTCTCAGGGCATTCACAGTGGCCGTGTGGGAGACGCTGAGACCCTGGGGTCAGGGTTCAAGCCCTGGGTCTGGGTGCCTCTCTCTCAGGGGGTTCACGGTGGCCGTGTGGGAGACACTGAGACCCTGGGATCAGGGTTCAAGCCCTGGGTCTGGGTGTCTCTCTCTCTCTCACAGGGGGTTCACAGTGGCTGTGTGGGAGACACTGAGACCCTGGGGTCAGGGTTCAAGCCCTGGGTGTCTCTCCCTCAGTGGATTCACAGTGGCCATGTGGGAGACGCTGAGACCCCGGGGTCAGGGTTCAAGCCCTGGGTCTGGGTGTCTCTCTCAAGGGGTTCACGGTGGCCATGTGGGAGACACTGAGACCCTGGGGTCAGGGTTCAAGCCCTGGGTCGGGGTGTCTCTCTCTCAGGGGGTTCACAGTGGCCGTGTGGGAGACGCTGAGACCCTGGGGTCAGCGTTCAAGCCCTGGGTCTGGGTGTCTCTCTCTCAGGGGGTTCACGGTGGCCGTGTGGGAGACGCTGAGACCCTGGGGTCAGGGTTCAAGCCCTGGATCTGGGTGTCTCTCTCTCAGGGGGTTCACGGTGGCCGTGTGGGAGACGCTGAGACCCTGGGGTCAGGGTTCAAGCCCTGGGTCTGGGTGTCTCTCTCTCTCTCAGGGGGTTCACGGTGGCCGTGTGGGAGAAACTGAGACCCTGGGATCAGGGTTCAAGCCCTGGGTCGGGGTGTCTCTCTCTCAGGGGGTTCACAGTGGCTGTGTGGGAGACGCTGAGACCCTGGAGTCGGGGTTCAAGCCCTGGGTCTGGGTGTCTCTCTCTCTCAGGGGGTTCACAGTGGCCGTGTGGGAGACGCTGAGACCCTGGGGTCAGGGTTCAAGCCCTGGGTCTGGGTGTCTCTCTCTCTCAGGGGGTTCACGGTGGCCGTGTGGGAGACGCTGAGACCCTGGGGTCAGGGTTCAAGCCCTGGGTCTGGGTGTCTCTCTCTCAGGGGGTTCACAGTGGCCGTGTGGGAGACGCTGAGACCCTGGGGTCAGGGTTCAAGCCCTGGGTCTGGGTGTCTCTCTCTCAGGGGGTTCACAGTGGCCGTGTGGGAGACACTGAGACCCTGGGGTCAGGGTTCAAGCCCTTGGTCTGGGTGTCTCTCTCTCAGGGGGTTCACAGTGGCCGTGTGGGAGACGCTGAGACCCTGGGGTCAGGGTTCAAGCCCTGGGTCTGGGTATCTCTCTCTCTCATGGGGTTGACAGTGGCCGTGTGGGAGACGCTGAGACCCTGGGGTCAGGGTTCAAGCCCTGGGTCTGGGTGTCTCTCTCTCTCAGGGGGTTCACGGTGGCCGTGTGGGAGACGCTGAGACCCTGGGGTCAGGGTTCAAGCCCTGGGTCTGGGTGTCTCTCTCTCTCTCAGGGGGTTCACAGTGGCCGTGTGGGAGACGCTGAGACCCTGGGGTCAGGGTTCAAGCCCTGGGTCTGGGTGTCTCTCTCTCTCTCAGGGGGTTCACAGTGGCCGTGTGGGAGACGCTGAGACCCTGGGGTCAGGGTTCAAGCCCTGGGTCTGGGTGTCTCTCTCTCAGGGGGTTCACAGCGGCCGTGTGGGAGACGCTGAGACCCTGGGGTCAGGGTTCAAACCCCGGGTCTGGGTGTCTCTCTCTCTCTCTCAGGGGGTTCACGGTGGCCGTGTGGGAGACACTGAGACCCTGGGGTCAGGGTTCAAGCCCTGGGTGTCTCTCTGTCAGGGGGTTCACGGTGGCCCTGTGGGCCCTGTGGGGCTGTGCGTTGTCTTTCAGAATCTTCCCAGTGGCGCCACCGCCATGGAGAGCATCAACATCAACCACATCTCCACTGTGAGTGGGCGCCCACACACGCGGTTACACACGTGGGTTGGTGGGTCGGTGGGTGGGTGAGTGAGTGGGTGGGTGAGTGGGTGAGTGGGTGGGTGAGTGGGTGAGTGGGTGGGTGAGTGAGTGAGTGGGTGGGTGAGTGAGTGAGTGGGTGGGTGGGTGAGTGAGTGGGTGGGTGAGTGAGTGGGTGATTGGGTGGGTGGGTGGGTGAGTGGGTAGGCGAGTAAGGGGATGAGTGGGTGAGTGAATAGGTGAGTGGGTGAGTGAGTGGGTGAACGAGCGAGTGGGTGGGTGAGTGAGTGGGTGAGTGGGTGAGTGAGTGAGTGCTTGGGTGAGTGAGTGATTTGGTGAGTGAGTTTGTTAGTGAGTGCATGGTTGAGTGCGTGAGGGAGTGGTTTAGTGAGTGAGTGTGTGAGGGAGTGAGTGGGTGGGTGAGTGAGTTGGTGAGTGAGTGGTTGAGTGAGTGAGTGGGTGGGTGAGTGCGTGAGTGAGTGGGTGAGTGAGTGGTTGAGTGAGTGAGTGCGTGGTTGAGTGAGTGGGTGAGTGAGTGCGTGGTTGAGTGCGTGAGTGAGTGAGTGAGTGCGTGGTTCAGTGCGTGGTTGAGTGAGTGGGTGAGTGGTTGAGTGAGTGCGTGGTTGAGTGTGTGAGTGCGTGGTTGAGTGCGTGAGTGAGTGGTTGAGTTGGTGAGTGGGTGCGTTAGTGGGTGAGTGAGTGGTTGAGTGAGTAGGTGAGTGAGTGAGTGCGTGAGTGAGTGAGTTGGTGAGTGAGTTGGTGAGTGGGTGAGTAAGTGAGTGCGTGGTTGAGTGAGTGGTTGAGTGAGTGAGTGAGTGGTTGAGTGAGTGAGTGGTTTAGTGAGTGATTGTGTGAGTGAGTGGGTGGGTGAGTGAGTTGGTGAGTGAGTGGTTGAGTGAGTGAGTGGGTGAGTGAGTGAGTGGGTGAGTGAGTGGTTGAGTGAGTGAGTGAGTGCGTGGTTGAGTGCGTGGTTGAGTGCGTGGTTGAGTGAGTGGGTGAGTGAGTGCGTGAGTGAGTGAGTGAGTGGTTGAGTGAGTGGTTGAGTGAGTGAGTGGTTGAGTGCGTGGTTGAGTGAGTGAGTGAGTGCGTGGTTGAGTGCGTGGTTGAGTGCGTGGTTGAGTGAGTGGTTGAGTGAGTGAGTGGTTGAGTGCGTGGTTGAGTGCGTGGTTGAGTTTGTGAGTGAGTGCGTGAGTGAGTGGTTGAGTAAGTGAGTTGGTGAGTGATTGCGTGGTTGAGTGAGTGAGTGGGTGAGTGTGTGAGTGAGTGAGTGGTTGAGTGAGTGGTTGAGTGGTTGAGTGGTTGAGTGAATCAGTGAGTGGCTGAGTGAGTGAGTGGGTGAGTGAGTGAGTGAGTTGATTGAGTGAGTGGGTGAGTGAGTGGTTGAGTGATTGAGTGGATGAGTGAGTGGTTGAGTGAGTGAGTGGTTGAGTGAGTTGATTGAGTGCGTG